TATATATATATAATTTTTGATCAGGTCTTTCGTTTTTCTTATATTATTATTATTACATATATTATTTTAGTGTGCATGGTCCTAGAATCATTCAGATCGCCTTGTGTCACAAATTTACTTACAATTTAAAGGATGAAACTGTAACGTAATGGGCTTGCTTCTTGTTAACACTACCATACCCTGCCTCGATTGATGAAGGAAACATACCACTGAAAGACGTTAGACAATAGATGATTTGCAACAGATTTATTGTGGGTTTTCAGTTAGTTAGTCGATTTAAGATACGGCGACGACTCGCAAAGCGAAAAAAGTAAGATTATTCGTTCCGTCGGTACAGATAAAAATCTCTTTCTACGGTGATTTGAAGTTTTTCGAAGGCTACGCAACTGTATGGTGAACTAAAGAAAGCGCTATATTTTCGATGTAAACTTTCTGTGCGAGATCTTTACTCGTTTTTTTTTACATGATTTAACACAGATAGTTCAATGTCTTTTGAAACAAACAAGTTAGTGAAAAAAAAATGTTGCCTAAAAGGACGTCAAATTTTAGCGGAAGTTTCGAACCGCTGAAGGATATCCAAGACTGACTAAGCTTGCCGGTTCCTTTGGAAAAGCTTTTTCGGAATTTTAAACAAACTTAAAACTGAGAACATACGCTAGTATACTACTAGCGTGGACTATAGAAAAGAAAAACTGACAACAGCAAGTCGTTATCAAAGCTCATATTCTTATCAGATTTTAAACATGTCGTTATCACTTACCCTTGCAATATACAATGGGCAGCCGTAAGTAAAAACCTTCGGGTTATCAGTGATGCAGTACAGATGAACTGTGAACCGCGAACAATCCTTAGATTAATCAACCAAGGAAACCTTTCCTCCGGCGCTGGTTCTCTGTTGACAATTTGGCTTCGTAATGTCATCAATTGACCACAACCCGGTTCATTCAGCCTCATATCCTCAGATGAAATCACAGTCGGATCGGTTTCTTCCTGCTTAATGGCCAGGGTGGTTCCAGTATCATCCTTTGTTTGGCGACTTTCCATAACAGCTTCTTCGTTTAGTGGATGCTCATGCACAGTTGCACTCTGGCGTTGTCGCTGCACGGCGATAGCGTAAGGTCCTGACGTCCAGGATTCTTGATATACACTCTGCTTTGGCACGCTCCGCCACAATGTCTTATCACCGCCACCAATTCTAGTAGGTCCATGATAAGTTTCAGGGTCTTCTACAGACGCCTTTGTGATGAAAATATCCGCATCGCCTTTCGCATGGCCACCATCGATGCCTACGATTCGTTTCATGACTGTGTCCTCTCTGACGTTCTCTGGCCATGATTCCTGAAACGTACAAGCAGTGTCAAGCACCATTTTTACTTTTTTACTGTACCAGATCGCTAGATATAAATACATATATGTTTTGATTTAAGCAAGTATGATTAAATTACAAGCCTATCCATTCTTTAGTTAAAAAATATTATGCTGCAACTAAGCTGAACATCGGGCAAAACCATTTCCTCAATTACCGGTTTTTTCTGCCACCGAACGTGTGTACGAGGCTGTTGGAGTTCGAACAGATCATCTGAGTCGATTCCAATAGCAGGCGGTAGCCGCTTATGATAAATGGTCTCACCAATATGATGGATTGGCCGTCCGTGTGTTTCGTATGACCCGTCGATGTGCCGATAGGGTAATAGATACTTATATATCTGTTCACCTGTTACTGTTCCACTTTCATGTTTTTTCAGTTGCGTTGCAAACATTCGCTTCAACAAGATGCATAGTTCGTCCTCGCTCTTTAGAGCTTTCTCGGAATTCGTAACAATTATACTTCCACCTGCATGGATCTGAGATGGCTTTAGAACTGGAATATGTGTCCCACCTTTACTAACAATGACCTGTTTTGGGTTCTGGATCAAGTCGAAATCACTATGTATGGTTGGTCCCCTATCAGGGATAACTGGAATGACGGGGAATCGAGGCAGAGGTGTCGTTCGTTTCGAATGAATAATGTGTTCCTGTTGAACTGGCTGCCGAATCCTGATATGGCCAACTTCGATTTCTTCGGTTGAATGAGGACGATATATGGGTGGGGATCGAATAATCTGAATCTTTCCCTGATCGTGGATCGGACGGCGAAGACGTTCAGATTCAGTTGAAGAGGTTTGCTTAATCGTATTATGTATCGATTCCGAATCAACTGTCGCTTTACCAGGATTTGGATGGCAGGGAACACGAATCCTATTTTGAGTGCAGATGCGAATAGGTATTTTGGGTCGGCGTGTGATGATACTCCCGGGCTTCCTGGTTGTACTGCTAATGGCAATCATTTCATCTTCAGGAACTCCTACTGTTAAAAGGTGAGACAATTTTCGGACACGGCGACATTCACAGATCTCGGTTTCACCATTCAAGGGATCAAAATAGCTCTTGGCATAGGTTTCTGTGTAGTTATCTGATATTGGAGGAAAAGGTAGCTTTGGATGAAGAGGCCGATATGGCGATGATGCTTGTGCATTGAGTTCATCCAAACTAAATGCCTCCATTGTTCGTCCTTGGGGGCGTGTTTGAAGCTTATCGCTTTCTTCACTACGCTCAAAAAAAACATTTACTTCTGTCAAATTCTCGTTGGTCGCAACAGTGCTGGTAGCGGTTGCATCTTCAGCTTTCTGGTTTTCGTTATCGGCCGTTAACCTGATGTCCAGTTCGGTCTCGTGAGGCGCTTCAGCGTCAGATCGGGATGATAAATGAAGCGCGGACGGTGGCTGAAAAGTCGGATCGCCTCCAAGGTGGACCAGCGTAAAATTTCCATCGATATCAGTGTCATCCAAATCGGACCGCGTAACGTCGTCAAGTATGTGCGCTTCTTCAGGTACAGTGGAGGGTGACGAATCTGTTGATTCTATTTGATTCTTCTCCATTAAAATCTCTCCGTCCAGGCCCCTCTCGCAGGGTACCCAAGGAAGACAACGGGCATCTTCGCGACGATAAACAGCTTGCGCTCGTGCAATGTCGGCCTTGAGTACTCCGGCCACCAGGTATAGCTAAAAAGCGCAAGTAACAAAAGAAGCTTGTTATTCAACATAGCCGCAAATGGCTACGAATTCTCGATTATTCACCCAAACGTTTAAACGGAGCACGTATATATAATTGAAGTATACAAACGTGCGAAATATCGTCATCGTATTGTGTAATCGATTGACCACGCACCCCACACAACAAAGCGCTCCAGAGCATTTTGGCCTGACTCGACTTTGTCGACTGCGCTTATAAAGGCAGGAGTTCACCTTACGACGAATCACTATTGATAGGGCTATCAGAATTGCCCACTGGGCCCTGGCTGCGTTCGATCGAGTGGCAAAGATTTTTACCTTTTTTGCCCTCGTTTCTACTAAGCTACCATTGGCCTAGACGTCGCAATGGGTGACATTGGCGGCCAGCGCTTGTTACAGTTCGTCCAAGTCGTGTGCGTATAACTCCCGAGACGTCATACTATACACATTATGGTTCGATAGCTAGTCTTGATAAATAGCACATATTCTTAAATGCCGTACGGGATTTATGGTCACCTATCGACTATGGTGAAATTGTCATGTACGTCACTTTTGCTTTATGTATATATATATATATATATATATATAAAGCATAAATGTATAATGCGAAACATACGCAAATGGTCTATTTTATGGGTCACGATTGCTGACGATGGTAGCTCGAAATGTGGATTTGCCGATTGATTGCTTCGCTGCTAGGTACTCGGGGTGAGTACATCTTTGTAAGATAGGACGTCAACCTTTTTTCAATCGATGTTATTGATTTTCTAAAAAAAGACAAACATATAGAGTTCCGTGGCGTTCCAGAAACTTTGTAAGATCTGTGAAGCATACGTTACACACCTCTATGTTCGTGTAATAGACATGTACAGACAGAAAGATAAACCGACTAAGAAAAAAACTGGTTCTAATATTTTTAATTTATTATACAGTAGCATCGAAGAAACAGTAAATGATCGTTTGTGCTTATACAGTTACCGACGCATTAGCCAGCCTTGCCACTAGGAATATATGAAGCATTAGTCAAGCATAGTAAACAAATGAGGTTTTCTACCACAATGTTCAGTGCATCTTCTCTTCTATCGTATAGGTTTCGCCTAAAACATAAGCATTGTAGATACATTATAAGGATCTATCTGAGTATTACTTAAGCTATATTTTGCTATCGATATCATTGTGAACAATGAGAAGCGACTAGCGGTACTATATTACCGATGGTCCAATTTTTCCGTATCAACCCCCCCCCCTGAATGGCTGAGATACCGGCTCGAACGCAAGCTGCTTAGACTTCCCATTTCAATAGTGTCAAGACTATATCTCAAAAAGGAGACAATCATGTTGCGAGATGCATCTGTGATCCGCCCTGCGGTGCGCCCGGAAACAACAGTTGATGGAAAAGGCTAGCTGAAAAAAAAAAAAAAAAACAGTACTTCACTTCTTTCGAGCAGCTTTCAAATAAATGTATAACTCGTTGCGTCGGAAGCCGCTTTTTGGGCACTAGGCAGAAGTAAACTAACATTCGTGGTCAGCTCGTCGTTGAGAAATGAAAAATAGGACTCAACGGTAAAAGGTCAAAAAGCACGAAACCACAGAATTACCTAACTTAAACCTGCTTCAAGACTGTTATTGTCTTCTTTGAATTGTTTCTAACAACAATAAAAAGCACTTGATGAATAGTCACGAGATTATTCTTAAACTGGAAGGTTTGCTACCCGATGCGAAATGTAAATCTGTTGGTTCGATGAAGGCACGCTATTACCTGAGAGAACTTAGACTCCATTAATAATCCTCGACCTCGAAATGTCTGCAGCTAGTTGCAAAGTAAATGTAATTTATTGTGTTATATCAGATGTCCCACGCTTGATATCCTAAGACTTTTAAAAGCGTTGTTATCTCAATGACCCGCATTATACTACCTTAATTACCTCGGACAATACACATATCCTCTTACGCTCTAGGCTCACTCAAACGTTAAGGTCTTCTAATCATCCTAGTTATATCAAGCGCTCTCAACTAAAACGTTATTCTACCAAGCAGAAAAATTCGATCGTTCAGCTCAGCTAGCTTTTGCCGTCGACTCTCACCAAAAGACGGAAGAAGGAATGTTGAATCGCTTTTGTATTGTTTCCAATTTTCTCCTATGTCGATCGCCCCGAAAGCGCGGCGCAGCTTGTCAGTGACTCAGATCTTTGCGAGCGACCAGGCCAAAAACGTTAAGGAACGCTTGCTCAGTAAGTGAAGCTACTGTGGTCCAGCGAAGGTACGGAACGCTGTGTATGAAGCCGATATTTAGGTTTTAGTAAATTTTCCTCGTCCCATTTTCCAGCTAGCTTACCAGCCGAAATGGGCATTTTCAATTCAGGATCATAAGCGACCTGTTTTCAATGATTTTCAGCTCATTTACAATCTATATTTCTGCTCACCTGCATTTTGTTGTTTGTTTTATAGAAATTAAATTAACTAAGGAAACTGAGTGAATGAAGGCGCAGGTGATAACTTACGAGGTCCTTTCTGGCTAAGTTTTCTAGCGGAATTTGTTAACGAATGATCTTTAGGTATACGATGATATACGAAAAGCATACAGTAAGGACGCACGTGCGACGCTTTTCACATGTAAAAATTGCAATTTGATAATCTTTTATTATCATTATTACAGATACGTACGATATAGCATATTTACTTTATAGTAAAATGTTATAAGATAATATCACAAATCGGTAATTATATCAAACAAAGAGTTTGAGCATGTTTGTCACTCCGCGTATTCGATTGACTATTATAGAAAAAACACTATCTGTTGATATTAAGCATGTTTTTTATTATTTGACTTATGTTTATTATTATTTATTTTGATACTCTGCTACACAAACTATACAATCGGCGTAGAAACCCTTTTTTTCACGCTCTATCGTCTGATAAAATAACATCATCTTGCCATCACCGACAACTGTTTTACTCGGTTTATCGGTGAATTCTAATATAAAGTTTCTGTTTAGCATAATATTTTCGATTGGTGGAACCTATTGCATTCGAGTACGTTCTGTGAGTGGAAAAACGATGATCATTTTATAATAAAAATGTTATTTCTTTTAATATCTATTAATGTATTCAGTGTCAACTGGTTGACTCACTGAAAGGAACAGAAAAAATATTAAGCGGCAATAGCGGACCCGAAGACGAGCCAAAAGGGGCCTGAAGTATAATATAGATGTACTATAATATAAATATAATTAATATACATCTTCTTTTCTACTCGAGTTTTACATCCGAGAGTGACTACTGTTATTATTAAAATTCGTGGTTCATGACAAGATAAGCTATACGACTGACCTTTGTTAACGACTATGCAGAGATTACATATGGGGTGTCATCTGTCTTAGGGCAGTTGAAACGTGCGTATACAATGATACCTGAAATAATCCTTTGGGCTTTCCACACATTTATACTGCTTCTGCGTAATTGAAGCTCGAAGCGTTTGGCTGACGATCTTCCAACATATTCCTATCCTCGGATCAAAATTCACTTCTAAATATGATCTATGAGAGGTTCCACGAGGTGGTAAAACGTTCGCCTGAATAATTTTTCTTTTCGTCAAGAACGGGTTCCATTAATGCTTTGTTAAAACTATACGAAATCAATGTCGTCAAAAGCTGCATATCGTTTTTATATTCTAAATTGTCCGTATCCATATATATATATATATATATA